TCAAGTGAAATAAAAGATCCAGATCGATTTAAAGAAAGTTTTAAACAGTTATTGTCAGATCGAACAAATATGTACGAAGAAGTTGTTAAATGCAAAGATATATTTGATACTGCAGCGGAAGAATCATGTATAGATCTAATAAAAACACGTCTTGGTTGTCAATCAAGATGCCCAGTTTGTGGAACAAAATGTGATAATACTGAAATTAATCATACGAAACATTATGGTAAACGTCATTTAGGAAGTGCATTTTATGGTTGTACAATTGGGGTAACAAATAAACCACTTTTATGGTTATGTTGTCATTTGTGGTTAACAAGTTCTGTTTGTATCGGTGAAACTGAATTCCATCCGAAACAAAATTACTTTTTAGAACGTGCACCAGAATGGTTAGATGATTTAGAACAAAAATCAAAAACAGGTGATTTATATAATGATTCTAAACTACCACCAGAACAAAGACGAGCTTGGATGGCTGTGCGACATGCTTTAGTTTATCGTTACTCAACAACTGGGATGGAAGATCTCGAAAATTATGATGAAAACCTTTATCCTGCTATCGAAAGTGTATCAGCTGATTTTGAGCCTAAATGGGATTACAATCAATCATAACATATTTACATTCATATTATAAACAATGATGGAAATTGTAACAGAACAACTTATGATTATTTTAGTGACAGTTTATATTTTTTTTGTTTGATGTGATTTCAGTTAAAAGAAAATAAACATTTTATTATTGATGTATGAAAACATATTAACATGTTTTTAGTTAAAGTGGAAAATCCGAAGTGTAGATGAGGATGTGTGTAGGTGTGGGTGCTGTGAGAGAAGTAGCACTTACATCCACACCTCCTGAACATATCCTTATTTAATTGAAAGAAAAGTTTTATTCTTGTTTATTACATATTGCAGAAATGGATGTTTTGGAAGAAGATATATAACGGATAATCATTATGCGACATATGTACAAATTCTAATATAATATATTTAGAAAAATCCAGCGACGTTTGATTCTTTTGCAGCATTCTTTATTCTAGTCTTGATAAAACTAATAAAAATCAGCGGTGACTATGTGCACCCAGATAGATATAATGAATTAATAAATGAAAATTAAGTTATATCATAGTTTTACATACATTTGATTATTAACATATACGAAATATCTTAACTAGATTAATAGTAGTTTTACTTTATTAGTTTTTTGTAACATTCAAAAATAAAGTATAAATTTTGGATTATAGTTGCGCATAGACGAAAAGAACTTAGTTTAAATAAAAATCAATCAGCTTACAAACATTTTTACCATTTCTTGCCTTAAGTTTCGAGGAAAACGGTTGATTTTTTGTTTCATTACATTTACTGAAAATTGTAGTATGTCAGAATTAATTGGTATATAAACTCGAAAATTAAAAAAACATATAAGGCTAATCAACACACAGCACAAGCTGATACCCTGTATTAAAATACGATAATTAATCTACGCTTGAACCTTCCATGTACTGTTTCTTATCAACACTTACAAAACAAATGAGCCCATTTAATATGATCTCATTGATAGTACACGTGTATCCTAGTTTGATTGTATTTGCTCTTAATTTAACACTAAACAGTAAATACATAGTTCATTGGCACTCTCTAACCAGAAAAATGAAATCAAAATAGTTCTATTTCTGTTTTTATACTAGACTAAATAATTTTTTGGAAAAAAGTAGAAAATCATAATTATTTTATCACAAATGCAAGACATGTTGTGCAAACCAAACGCTGAAAACTTAAAGAAATATTTATCATATATGTTTATTGTTAAGTTTTATTACTTACCGATGATGTATAGGAATAAAATAAAAATTAGTCAATTGAATAGCAGACCATGCACAATAATTAGCTTTCATAACGGTTGGAAAATCCTGTAATTACAATTTTTTAAGAAAATAATTCAAAATAAAGATTTAATTTACTTCACAGAAACGTTGGAAGATATGGAAGAATAACACTATTGAGAAGTGGTGCAGCATTGAGCTAAATATAATAAATATTCTCGTTATTATTTGCTTCGAAAAAATCATATATCAAATTGATCAGTAATCATCATTTTCACAGGTTTTAATTTAGCATCGGTATAATATTTATCGAATCCATAATACCCATATCGAAGAAATGGTGCCTATAATAATATAAAGAAAAATATTCCATTATAACATATATGGAAGAAACATACTGAGAATAAATAACCAAATGCAGCAAATCGAGTGACACGAGGCCAATCAATAGTACGTCATGTTCGTTTTCCAATAATTGTCTGTGAAATAATATTTCCCAAGCCCATCGTTGTTCCTATTTGATTAATTAATTAATTATCATATATATTTATTTCAATATTAATATAATACCTGTAGTTAAACTCATTACTAATAAAGGATTTTTCAAAACAAATTTATTATAACTTCTTAATATTGCTGCCATCTGAGAAGAGAAGAAACATAAATAAATAAATAAATATGAGATGTTTATTTTTATTTTAGAATCAAACGAACACATAAGAATAAATTAATATAGAAATAAGGATTCTTTTTTTTTCTTGATAAGTCAATAATGAAATAGATAAGATATTTATATATACAAATGATATACACACAAAAAGAAAAATTAAAACGGATGCTCGGAATGATTAAAAAACTATTGTACAAGAACAGAAACTAATCGAATGAAAATATGTATATATGTTCATTTAAGATGTTGTTACTGGAGTACGAGATCGATCTTGCTCATCAAGATATTGTGTTAATTGTGCACGTTTCTTTTTACTTAAATGTGACATCATTGTTACTAATGTCGTTCATTGTTTCGTTGTATATATCTATAGGAAATGAATCAATATAATAAAATATAAGTATATTTATTTTATTCTTTTTTATTTATTATATTTTCCCGAATCCATTGATCAATTGATTGCTCGGGTAAATAATAAGCTTTTATATAATTTTCAACAAATTCTTTATGTGGTAGAGGTCTAAATGATTAACATATTAAAAATATAACATTATAAAGAAGATATATTAAATTTCCAAAAGAAATTAAAAAAATTAGATAACAAACTCTCATTCTTAATACTATATACAAATATCAAAGTAAACATACTTCAAATCTTCAATACTACGTTCTGATCTTCGAAGTAACTGTTGAAATTCTAATTGCATTAATGCTCAACCTTCATTACTACATCGTTTAGCATTTGTACAACTAAAATCGAAAAGACAATGACTGATTTTTTGAAATAAATTTGATTGACCATCATTTACCCCAAATTGGGGCCCCTAGGTTCATCCCCAAATTTTATCCCCACTTGGGATAATTAACCAAAGAATATTGAAATGGGTAACCAATTGGAAATTTTTCTTTGGGAATTTTTTTAACTGGAGATTTTTTACTATATTTATATCATATATATATATCCAACAGATTTTAAATCAGTCTTGTTCTTTATCAGCTAATATACAGCGTCGGCAGGTTAGGGTTTGGTTTAAACTATGATGCTCTTAGTCAGCTTTCTCATCATACAGTAGAACTTCTCTAATGTGAACACCGCTGGTTCCTACGAAAATATTCACAATGATGGGGCGATCATAAAGGAGGGAGTTTGATAAAAATTACTCTAAATACAATTCCTTTACTATTTTCTGTACTATTTGATCATCACTTGATACTTTTATTCAATAACTTATCATTATTTATCACAAAATACTTTTTAATTCAACTATTTTAAATAAGAAATGAGGATTTTCTTTAAATCCGCTGGAAATACTCTTGAATAGTCTTTTGTTTCAAATTGCTTCCATCAAGATAAATATTGATTAGTTTTGATTGAAACTGAAGAACAAAAGAATGTAATTTTCGTTTCATTTTTTTGCTCCTGTTACACTCATCATCGTCCAGATATTCATTTTTTCTTTTAAGAATATTTGATATACTGCCAAGTGATACATGAAATTTATCCTTCAATACTCGATAAGACATTCCTTGTTCACTATCTTTTATTAAATTAATCTTTTGTTCTAAATTTAAGTCATTTCTTGCTGCCATAATTAATAGGCAGATAATGAAAGAATTTCTCTCATTGTTTCTCTTTATTCTCTTCTTTCTATATTCTGTATGGATATAACTATATAGCCAATAAAATTCATCAAAATGTGTTTCGTAAGTGTGTCGCCATCTGTCATTGTTCACATTACAAAATTTATACACACAGTCGGGCTCAAAAAATCTGTTCACATTCTGAATCAAGGGGTTTTCATATACGAGAAGTACGAAACCAGCAAAATGTGCTCGGTCGTTCTCAAAGGTATTCAGTTAAATGGGTTGTTCATAAAGGAGGGAGTTCACTTTACAAAGTTCTACTGTATATACAATTGTAAATATTCAAAAAAATATTGAAGATTCTGATGACCAATTAGAAATTTTTTAGGGTCAAAATGCATATAGACTTAGAACGATGCCGAGTCATTTTATTGTATATTTTAAAGCGAACCGGCTTGAGAACTGAGTCTCTTGAAAAGCTGTCTTATGAAGAACTGATGACTAAATTTTATAAATCGATCAAAGCTGATTATGAATTTTCAACAGACCGCGGTTAATTGTTTTTTTTATAACACCAGACACTGTAATGAATCTTTTAAAAAGAAAGTTGGTCACCAGAAGATTTCTAAAGCTATTCCGGTAACTAGAAAGTTATTTTTGCCGACTACTAACACCTGGTACTAGGTATGAGAAGGACTTCTATTAATTGTACCAACTATATGACTATAGACACGAGTCACTGTAATCGAAGAAATATGACAAAATCAATGAGTTATATACAATCAGTTGATGATAGTGTTATACTATAACACAATTCATCAGAAATGCATTATTTTCGATATTCCGATACTAGAATAAGTTTGTATATAATGCTTCATTGTTTTAATACTAGGTTGATTCTGTAAAACATAGATAGTAAGACTGTGTTAGCCGCAATTTTTTAAACAAATTCTTATGCCGGTCCTATATTTCTCACAGACTTAACAACGAACATTTTTTTGGTCATCAAATAGGAAGTTTTTGCTATAACAGTAATTAAGATTTTTAATACAAAAATTCAAAGGCATACCTGACAACCAGAATATATTTTAAGTTCGTAAAAGGGCAACTATACGCATGAAAAAAATTAGTGTTAATGTCATAAATATTTTAACTCAAATATCGGTGCGTGTGAATTCAGTCTGGTCATCACATTGACCATAAAAGACTAACTAATATCGTAGCAAATAATTCAAAGATTTCATCTGAGCACCTATATGCTACAGCGAGGTATAAAACAAAACTACACTTCTAAGCAAATGTAAAATATATAGAAACTCCGCAACTCGTCACCAGAATGTGTATAGTCGTTAGATTGTGCGAACACACGAAAATGATTTAGAAACTGAGTCGGGAAAGCATAGATGGTGCGAGATAAGATCTATTCAAATATATGTTTAAATGTTTCACACTTCGAGAAAATGCACTTTCAGCGTCGTACCATTATTAAATCTAGCTTTGAACTATAACAGTTTTCACCTAAAAAATACCCAGTTGAAAAAATCCCCAAATAAAAATCCTCGGTTGGTTACCAGTTTTGATATTTTCTGATTAACTACCCCAAGTGGGGTAAAATCTGGGAGTTAATCTGAAGACCACAATTTGGAGTAAATAATAAAACACTATATCTACTATGGTTTATTCCTATATATTGTATTGATTCTTTTCCTTTTCTCTAGGGTTCGTTTGTACATATATATCTCCGGTAGTTATATATAAACAGAAAGAAAAGAATAGAAAAGTCACTTCTGTCCGAAACGTCATTTTTTCGTCTGAAATAAACATTTCTCTCACTAATCGAGAACTTG